TACAGGTACATGTGCATTTAACTATAAATTTGTTATATTTAGTACTTTAAGTGAGTTTAGTACTTTCATGTGAGTTAAAACCCTCCACAGATATCCTTTGGGGTCACTATCATAATGCTTTGGCCTAATTTAGTCAATACAGAGTTCAGACAGAGTTTGCTGTTGGTGTCTTTGGATGCACACAAGGCTCCCTTTTGTTTTCTAGTGTCCATACTTTCAGCTTCTATAGTAATTGTACTAATGAGGTTTAGTCTTTAAGAAAACTGCTGGATTTGCTCCAGAAGAGCACTCAAGAGTTAAAGACTGAATCAGAAGGTTTCACTGTTAATCTAATCTTGAGCACAGCTGCACTGCTACAGAAAGAATAAAATGCTGATGCTGTGCAGTTAACTGTGCCTGGATACACTCATCGAATAAAGTTAATGGGGAAAAGTTTCCCTTGGGCAGTGGCCTGTGCCATGTGTCCCACTAAGTAGAGCTGTGCAAATAATTGACTTTCAATATGTTGATCAAACTGTAGAATAGAGGATGTTTAGGTTCGGGTTCGACAGAGCATTTCTTTCAGACATCACTTTGCAACCAGCAGGAAAGGAAGAAGGAGGCAGCAGCTCTGCCTTTAACCTAGGACAATTCAACAAAGATACGGGAGTCCCTGAGGCTCTGCTGGGTCCTTTTTTTGATTTCAGTGATGTGAGAAATGGTGCGTGTCCTGTGACTGTCCTGTTCAAGTGCTTTCCCTTTGTTCACGCTTGCAGCCCACAGAGAGATCCCTCACAGTGGGAAACTGAAAGTTAGGGTGGCTGAGAAAATAGTGCCAGAGTAGTGTTGGACTGTTGATACATGTCCTCTTCAGGATGTAGGTTTGGCCCCTCCCAGTCATTCATTACTGCCCTGCTGCTGCACTCCTAACACGTGGACTGTTTGTGATCACCCTCAAACCCTTTCAGGGCTTGTAGGAGGAATCTGTTTAACCATTGCAGCTGCAGCCAGAAGTGTGTTTTCAAGACTTGAGGTGAAGTACCACCAAGTTTCTCAGACAGAACCAGGAGAGTTGTTCCCTGGCATGCTTTGAAATTAACAGGAAAACCAAAAAGCCTTGATCCAGAAGGTACTTAAATGTTAATCTCAGTGGAACATTAACTCCATGAGTAATTTTAGAGCATGTTTCCCTTTTCTGATTTAAAAAAAAAAAAGCGGAGTTTGGTTTTCCTAAATCAGAGCAGTTTACGGGCTTAAACTTTCATCATGAATTCTGAGAAGTAACAGAGGAGAGACATGAATGAGAAGTTCTTCAGTACAAGATTTTCTGGTTTCTGAGTATCTGTTTTTCCAAATGTCTGAAAACTATACAAACGTGATTTTTGTGGGAGCAAACCCATGGCTCTCAATAAAGAAAACTTGTTTGTGTGCAAAGGAAAACAATGTGCAAAGGTTAGTGTTTCTCAGTTTCTGAAAAATTGTACTGAGACAAATGGATCATGAGCACCAACATCTGTGGAACTCACAGCCATGTCTCTTAGAAGATTTGATCAATAAATTCCCAGCGTGTTGCCGATGTTTTTGTAATTTGATTATCGTATAGAGACAACTGATATTCCTGGGTTATAAACAAAGTGACTGGAGGAGGAGACGAACTGTGTATGAAATACATCCAGTTTGGCTTTTGGTTGCATGCTCTCGGAAACTTTCCTAGACTCTTGTCCAACGGTTTAAACTTAATTTAGAATTGGGAAATGCAAAATGCACTTCTTACTTATTACAATAAGAGCTTGATGACTGTAGACAGTGCTCTGCAAGCAAACACCAGCAGAAAGAGGCATCCTCTTGAGTATGTTGCAATGTAATTTGGACAGTGTAAAGACAAAGGCAAAGGAGGATGTTTAGGACACTAGCATGAGAATGCCTTACGAGTTTGGTGTGTGTTTAGGGTTCTTTTAGTTTATATTTTTAAAAGATGAGATGAAGAGTGATAAATTGAGGGTCAATATCTTAGTCAGCTTTTCTTTGCTGAGTAGAAACATCTGGCTTTACTGTCCAATGATGTTCTTTTCTTCCCCTTAATCAATGGAAAGCAGCACTGAAGAAAAGGAGGCATGGAGAAAACACACTGCTTGAAATGCCATTCATGTCACAAACCTACTCTTTTGCTGCAGACAAGGCAGCAACCTTGTTTTCTTTAGTCTGGCCCTGGACTGTCATGAATCCTGCTTCAGCACAGAGGTCTCCATCTTCTTAGAAGATGTCTCCATGATTTGCATCTCCAACTTTATTCTGCTGAATGAAAACCGCTCATACAGCACGTATAGATGTGGTGCTCTTTGGGATTGTCTCCTCTCCTCCAGGATCCTGAGGCTGGTTATGAAGGCTGGTTTTCAACCAGCAACTAGCTTTCTTTTCCTCAAACATGACTGATACCAGTCATCATCTGAAACTAGCTTCGCTGTCAGAGAAGCAGGCTCTATGGATGGTAGCTCAGTGTGTCAGGAACATGTTGGAGCTTGAGGTAAAATTACATTGGCTTAGTGCTGCCAAAACAAGCAAAGGTGCACACTGTCCCCAGCAAGGCTGAAGGAGAAGCTCCTGGTGCCTCCAGAGCCCTCCCTGGTCCCTTTGGTCACTAGATGATGGGATTAGACTAACTGCCCCGTGTAGTCTCCCCACCAACTCAGCCCAACGGCTAAGACCCTTCAACACCTCTGCAATAACCTACCTGCAAGGGGAATTTCTTCCCAACTCCTTCACTTAGTATTAAGTGAAGTTCTTCCCAACTCACTTAGCCTAAGGCTCTGCTCTTAAAATCTGAGGATTTCTATCCCTTGATGATTTCTTACCCTCCATAAGGAAGCTGTGGTGTTCACATCAACCTTATCAATGCCTGTACTTCAGATGTTAAATAATTTTCGAATTTGGTCTCTCAGTTGAAGATTTGGAAAAAATGTAACAGGACCCCAACAGTATAAAGGACAATTTAAAGATACTGTGCCTGTTTGTTAGTTAATAAATAGTGATTCTATTAATAGTTACAATTCTAATTAAAATCTCCTTGAGTATATCTTGGCCTGTAAGGGTCTTCAAATACCTGAGCTCCTTTTCATGCAGTGTACAAAGCCCTTCACAATGGCAGCGGAGGACCTTGCAGTGAAGTGCTACGTGTGGAGATTTATGCCAAGGCAAACTGCGCTCCCAGGCAATGATGATAAATGTGAAAGTTTTAAGAAACAAACAGGCAAATAGAGGTCACAGTCCTGAGCCCCAGCATGTGAACAACTAAGCAGCCTCTTACACGGGAGGGTCAGTGCGGACTTTGTAGCATAATATGGTCAAAGTTGAGTGTTGCACCAACAAGACTGTAAAGGTTACACATTGAAAGAGAGAAGGAGGCTCAGACTTCATTTACGTATCTGAAAGACAAATGGGTTGCCTATGGGAGGCATCTGTTAGTTGGAATAGATCATAACCATGTCTTGGCCTTCCCAGACATGGTCTGGGAGATGACACTCTCTCTTACCTTTCTTGCCTCTTCCAGGTCTCCTCCTTGGCAGCACAAGGGTAATTTCCAGATACAGATGTTTGATGTGCTGAGTTGAAAACCAAATTTGATGGAAATTTGGAGACTGCAGTTGAATTCTCCATGACCAAGTGGGCAAAACCCACTTGAGCCTTGAGTCTATTGGTACTGAGTGGTTAGAGTTTCCAGCCCTGCTATGAATTTACAGGGAAGAGCTTTCCCAAAAACCACCAGAATGATGATTCTTTAAGTGTTTTAGAATAATTTGTCAAAAATGAAACATGAAGGTCATGTAGGCATTGAGAAATTTTACAAGATCAGCAATGTTTTGCAATGGGGTGAAATGAAGAGTCACATTAGAGTTGTGGAGGCTTGTTGCACATGCCAAGTATATTCGCCGAGTCAGACAGAAATGAGGAGACCAAGAAATTATTCCCCAGGGACCATGGTTTTATCTTGAACAAAACCATATATTTTTCTTGGACTATTCTCACTTCCCCAAGCTAACCTTACGGGAAGATACAACTACAAAAAAGACAGTCTAGTCTATCAAATCCATTTCTTGAGATAGGATACATGAAATAATGGTATTACTTAGCTATGAGATAAAGTTTAGTGGGTGCAAGTTGAAAGTCTGTACTGAAATACAGGTGTAAATCTGCGCAGGTGAATTCCCCTTGTCCCAAACCTAGCTGGAAAAGGATCACAGATGACATCTTTTAGAAAGACAGCAGGCAGATGTGGAGCCCTATCTTTAACTTTTTAAGTGCAAGGAGAACTGTATAATTAAGAGGCTCCTAAAGAGCTAGCTGGGGCCAGTTGCACTGTGTAGCAATTCATGCTGCTGATAGCTGCTCTGTTAGGAATCAGATCTGGTCTTATTCGGCAGCCGTTCACTTCCTGGGTGCTGTGGTTGCTGACCGACACAGGCTGGACCCCAGAGCTTTTAGCTCTGATGTTTTGCAGAAGTGCAGGGGCCTGCTGTTTTATTCAAAGTGTTGTGTTATGCTCTTTTACAGAAGATATATGGTGTGGACACTGGCAAGATTTATTTAATGATGAAAAAAGTAAGTAAGCAAGATTATAATGAACTATAAGGTGAAGTAAGAGTAAATATGAAGGTTCCAGCTTTGTATTTTGTATTTAGCTTTTACTTCTTTGAGTAGTCTTATGGAAAGAAAATATCCCGTTTGCAATGTAGGATTGATGTTGTAATTTTCGCAGTGATTCACCACGTAGGCTGCCTTTGGTAATTTGCTTTATGTGGCAAAAATGTGAAGACAGGAAGGTCGTGTGAAGCCAATAAGCAGTGTAGAGATTTCACTAAGTGCTCCAGCAGTGAATGTGTTAAATGTTTTCATCAGAGACTTTAAAAAAAAAAAAAAAGTCATATGATGGATATGCCAGAAAAAGTTTACTTTATAAAGGAGAGTGAAAAGCCTCTCACACATAAGACAGCAGGAAAGAAAGAGTACACCGTTTCCTTTTTAGCAGCTTTTAATCTTAAAAAGAATGTAATTCTCAGCCGCAGGGGGCAGAGCCCACTTCAGTGAGACCTCCCTCCCAAAACTGCCGGGATCCTCTACTTCCACCCTGAGCGAAGCAGGCGCCTTGGCAAAAGGAGTAAAAGCGTCCCAGCTGCCTCCGGCGACGGCGTAGGAATAGACATGTCTACGGGGAAGATCTGTTGTCTGGTGCTGCTGACCCTAGGGGTGCTGGCGGCGGTTGTTGCGCTTGTGGTCATCCTGACTCAACCCAAGTGCGGTCCTCAGCGCTACCTGCACGGTGCCGTGGCTGCTGACACTGAGACCTGCTCTGTCATCGGCCGGTATGTGCACGGACCTCTCGGTTCTTCAGGTTACGTGTCGCGTATGTCGTGGACTTGGACTGACATACTAACTATGGGAGTGAGCTGGGTTTCTGCCCCGTCCCCGCTTCTGGGGCTGAGCAGCAATGCTGCTCCCCAGGTGCTCTCCAGTGGAGCAGCTCAGAGAGCAGATGGAGCCCTGCCTCTGCAGTTGATGCTTATTTTCATTGTGACATTGTCCAATGCCACAAAAATTTGCATTTCTGCAAATTTTTGGCCTTTTGGAAGGTATAAATATTTATAGTATACAAGAGCAAGGTTGTTTTAAAGTGGGGAAGCAGAAAATTAACTGCTTCATGGTGGTTAAGTCTGTCAGATAAGTGGCTTAGAAATAAACTAAGGAAGAAGTGAGAGGAGCTAGCGGAGAGCTGCAGCTGGGCTTCAGCAGAGGCAAGGAAGGCAGGCAGGCTAGGAGGGTAAGGGGGTCCCAGGCATCGCAGCCTTTAGGGTGTGTGTTTCTGGACTGAAGCCTGCAGCAGCTGTGTCTGCTATCAAGAAAGACACTCTGTATTGTAAAACAAAGAGCAGATTTAATTGAAATTCAGCAAAGACAGTGTGAGTACAAAAGACATACTTAGATCACTTGGAAGGAAAGATGAAGGTTTAAAAAATTCTCTAGCTGCCCAGGTTGTAACACTTCAGTCTGTGTAACAACTTCTCTCTCAAACATTTTGACTCTTATGTTATTATTTTACTATTACTGTTACTTCAATTCTTAAATGTATACATACATGAAAGTAGAAGGATGTAACTTCACAAACTATACGTGACGCTGGATGCTCTAGCAGTGGATGAGAGCTGTGTGCTCTACCTTCTGGCTGGAGGAGTGAGATGAAAACGTGGTGCCATTGCACCATGCCTGCCATGTCGCACATGTGGTTCTTGCAATGCTGTGCTGACACAGCATTTGTGAGTAGTTGGGGAAAATGTACTGTGGCCGCACATATGTCAAGGAATAAGATGGTTTTTTTTACGCTAAGCCACAGGTTAGTTCTTCAGTGGGTAGAAGAAGTATCTTTTAAATCAATATTAATGGAAATAGAGGAAAATACATTATTGGATTATCCGAAGAATCTGCTGGGAAAACCACAGCACTTGTTTTGCAGCTATTGTAATTTTTAACTTGAAGTAGTGTAGCATCAGCTGGAAGGCACTGAAGTGAGAGCCACAGAAATCTGTGATCAGGTTGACAACTGAGAGGCTTTGGCTATCTGGCTACTGCTGCTGGGCTGTCATCTGTTTCCGTCCTTTCTCTCTGCAAGAAGCTCCACCTGCTTCCATAGCCTCAACCATCGCTGTAGCTGTGCCTCCAACGCTCTTGCTGACAAGGTCTATGGTGTCCCTCCAGTCTGATGGACCACCTCAGATTTCCTAAAAATAGTTTGCCAATGATGCCACAAAATTCTGCCCTTGCTCCAACTTTCCATCACACATTTTTCCCCCTTTTACCCAGCCTGGGGCATCTGCACATCATGTCCTGCTGCTCCAAATGTATCAGCTCTGTCCTCCAGCCCTGCCAAGACCCCTGGATCTCCCCAGCCAAGACTATTCTCCTCCTTCACCTTGGTTCACCCTCTGCCTGGTGGTTAGCTCTACTCCCCTACTGCTGCATGCTGTCTGCTGCTTTTCCCGGTATCCTTTGCCTCCAGCCATTCTTGGAAAGCGTTGTGCTCATTTTGTGCTGTCCTTATACTTGGAATGAACCAAACTCCTGTTTTTCTCCCAGCTTGAGCTATCTGCTCATGTTCTTGAAACAGATCATAATAAAACTGTTTATAAAAATGTTCACCTGCAACAGAGCTTGTGATCAGAACCTTTGTATAACATTTGCCCTTTTCTTTGTCATTATCCTATTTCTCTCTTTGTCCCCACTGGCCCACAATGTTAGCTTGTTAGGAAGGAACATTTCTTTTCTTTGGGGGAAGCTTACTGCGTGCTCTGTACTGCATGTGATCTTGTCAATTTTCTCCCAGACATTTCTGTGCTGTTATATCTGTATGTCACATTTTAACTGTTAGCTATTAGCACATGAGAGTCACCACTAAATTAATTCTCATAGCAGTCTGGGAAGTGAGAAAATGATGTTATCTCACTGGTATAAATAAGGAAGTCTAGCACGGCAATTGTACTGTGAGGATGCCACATCAGAGTTGCTTTGACCAGGGTCTCTGCCTTTCAGAGCAATCTGCGCTGCTCGGGGTACATCTCTCACTGACCTCCTGTGTGACTGTGCAGGGTGAGGGCTTCCTTGAGCCTGACTCAGAGGTCTTGGTGGGAGAACCAGGAGCTGAGGAGCACACAGCAGCCTCCTGCCGAATCTTTGCTGAACAAGATTTTAGCATCACATAGGAATTTTGTCACAGCAGTAGCAATAAAATCCAATTTCTCAGAGTAGTTGTCCTGGTTTCAGCAGGGATAGAGTTAATTTCCTTCCCAGTAGCTGGTACAGTGCTGTGTTTTGGATTTAGGATGAGAATAATGTTGATAACACACCAATGTTTTAGTTGTCGCTAAGCAGTGCTTACACTAGTCAAGGACTTTTCAGCTTCCCGTGCTCTACCGACTGAGCAGGCTGGAGGTGCACAAGAAGCTGGGAGGGGGCACAGCCAGGACAGCTGACCTCAACTGGCCAGAGGGATATTCCATACCATGGGACGTCATGCTCAGTACATAAACTGGGGGAAAGCTGGCCGGGGGGGGGGCCGCTGCTCGGAGACTGGCTGGGCATTGGTCGGCAGGGTGGTGAGCAATTGCATCGTGCATCACTTGCTTTGTATATCCTTATTCTTCTTATTATTTTATTTCCATTATTAAACTGTTCTTATCTCAACCCACAAGTTTTCTCACTTTTACCCTTCCGATTCTCTCCCCCATCCCACTGGGGCAGGGGGAGTGAGCGAGTGGCTGTGTGGTGCTCAGTTGCCGACTGAGGTTAAACCACGACAGTAGTCTTAGCCAGTAGGCCCTGATGTCCCCACCTGTGAGCTGCCACTTCATTTGCCACTTAACTTCATCAACAAAGTGAGAGTTGGACAAAGCCAAACATCCCTTGATGCACAACCCTAACTCCTTCCCAGACACTGCCCAGCCAGTCAACTGAGTGTTTTTGAGATTACAACAACGCTGTTGACTTCTGCTGTTCAAAAATAATTAAAGTCCCAAAATAATGAGACGTAGGAGAGAGGAAACAAGAAGAAATAATTAATCTTTTTCTTTTTCTTACTAAGGACTGTATTTAGGTCTTCACTCTTTTTCTGTAGTTATGCAAACATTTGCAAATTTTTACACTGGCTGTTTGGACTTGGAATGGTGTAAAGAGTTGAGGAGTTAGGCGAGCAATCATGAATGGCGAGATTCCCAACGGCACAAGAGCTGAGACCTGTACTGCTGCCCCCGAGTCCCTGCCGGGCCCTTTGCTTCCCATGCTGCTGCTTGCTCTCTCCTGCCTAATCGCTGCCTCACCCCCAGCTCTGTGGCTGCTCCTTCCTACATGTACCCATCTCCCTGTGCTGGTGTTCGAGCCTGTGCAGTCACTACTTCTGGTCTTCTCATCCTACCAACACAACACCCTCACCCCTGCTCCCAGATTGCTCAACCTTTCTTCTGCCTTGATCCTGCCTCCACAGCTCAGCCACTTCATTCCTCTCCCATCTCCTTTGTGTTTGAGGCAGGACATGGCCACGCTCCTTGCTTGTGGTGCAGTGGGGAGCACTGAGTACTAAGGATAATGATTTCCTTGTTTTTGGCATGCCCCAAAGCCATGGCTGATACCAGATGCAGTTTTTTTGAGGAAACTGTGCTTAGCCTCTGCAGCTCAGGGTTGGAACAGGCTCATTTCTGCTATTGTTGCTTAGAAATCACAAGATTGGTTAATTCATTGATGACCACACACATATGCATTTTTATATGTATATAAAAATAAGTAAAAAAAAATTACATGGTCAATACAATCAGAATTTTTAATGATCAGTTTTGGTTTTTTTTCCCCAAAGCAAACAACTTGGCCAAATTAGAGTTAATTGTTTGAACTGGCGGCAGACTACATCTTTGGCTTTGTACTTGCACACTGCAGAGCCTCCTAACAAATTTTCTGGAGGAGTTTAAAACAAGTAAAATAAGACAAAACAACAAATTTCCTCAGTCTAATTTTTTTGGTCATTGCTGAATGCTTTTAGTGGAAACATACAAAAAGGAAAAAAGCGACCTCCACAGCACCATGGGAAAAAAAATTAGGCTTGGCGTCTTGGGTACAGCAAAGCTACAATCAAATGAAAACCACGTGTTGTAATTGAACCTGCCAGCCTGCCTGCCCACCCCGCTGGTGAGAGGAGGAGTCATTGCAACCAGGCCCTAAAGGCACACCACAGAGAGATTCAACAGTGCCTGTTGGTCCCTGCCCTCCCCCACTGACCCCGCAGACCCTCTTTCTGCTGGGACCCTGGGCTGCACCCCCGCAGCCACACCTTTCATCCTGCAAATCCCCCCCCCCCCCAGCTCCCGGGAACTGATGCAGGGGATGCTTGGAGAATCTCCAGTGCAGGATGGGCATGAAACCAATTGCACTGGTCCAGTGCCTAAAGTCTTAGAAGCTAAAAGCAGCACCTAATCTCTGACCTACTTATAAATTTTATTCTTTAATTAAAAAATCTTGTTTCCTTTAAATTAAAAAAAAAAAAAGAGACCCAAACCACATGGTCTGTGAGTTGTCATTAGCAGTAATGAAATTCCCGGGGCATTACATGATACCGTGTGGGTTTAAGATGCTGCTATTTAAGACAGAGTCTTTGTGTGCGCCTAATAGAACTTTTAATTGAACTTATTGAGAATAATAACTGAACCTGTTGCCTGAAGAGCAATCTTGTCTTTTAACAAGTGGGTTGGTGGGTTGGGGAAAAAAACCTCAGGGCCCTTGTGTTTTCCTCACCGATAGTTCAGCTGTGAAGGAAGGGTCAGTGAAGGAA